GATATTATAGATATTCATGGAAATGTTCTAGATTCTCCAATAATTCAAATTTGGTTATTTTTTAACCTCTTTCTAAAAAAGAAAGAATACTTCCTGGAAAAGTTCAAGGTGAAAGCTTCATTATATGATCCTTGCTAGGGCAATGAATATTAACATTAATTTATGTTTTGTAAGGTGCTGTAATTACTGAGCAGTTTGTCCTTCTTAATTGACCTGCCATTAATCTTCAATTAGCTGGTTTGAAAATCACTTTGGAAGGAGTGTAATGACTCATTCTTCCTAAAAAGTGGTTGGTGCAGTTCTTGGTACACTGTTTCTTTCTTATTTACTTAATAAAACACAACTCTGTTCAAATAACAGCAAGGTGTAAATATTGATTTTCTCTGCACTTTAAATTTACTATTTATTTGAATTGTACTTCTTTTGTAGAATTGTCACCCTAATATAGTGATATTCACCATATATCCCAAAATGCTAATATTTTATTTTAGGAGTAATCCGTGAAGTGTGTAACAGTTTATAAGTAAGGCAAAAGAAACAAATGCTGAGCTGCTCCTGCATAAAGACAAGCTTGATACTTATTACCTGAGGCCAACATATTTAGCCAACCAACACAAGCTTCACTAATAAGGTATAATACTTTAGACAAGCTATGTTTCAGTAATAAAGTACTAATACATAACTGACAAGTAGCTCTTAGAAAAAGGTCTTCCTTAAGACAGCTGTACAGTATATCCGCAAAAGCAATTTATAAATGGTTTTCTAGACTACGGCTGAGACACTCACTGAGTTTAAAGGCAAGGATAGCGAAAACTGCCTGGAAGGTCTGAATTAATACCCGAAAGCAAACTGGCAATATAGTTTACTCACTGTATGCAAAGTTATACTCAAAAGTCAAAATGCAAGTAAATTGTAAAGGTAAAAGGGAAATGTGTACTTTAAATGAATGCTCTAGAATTCTCATGCTGGTGACCAGGGATACATTGCACAGGTAAACGCATGCACTTCCTTTAAAGCTGTTCTAATTTCATTAACCAATATACTGTATAATGCCTTGTTTATTTGTAAACTAAAACCTCTTTTGCCCATTGGTATGCAATTTTCAGTAAGGAATACAAGCAAGTCACTCACATCAAATGTAAGACTAAAATTATGATTTAAAATAAGATAAATTTAAATTAAATGTAACTAAATTAGTATATTTAACCATTAGGTCTTCTTTGATGGCCCAGTGCATAATAGGGTTAAGGTCAAGGGTCAGATTTATAGATGGTTTAAAAAAAAAAGTCTGATTTATAGATGTTTTAAAAAAAGGTCTAAGGACTGAATGTAACTGCTCATGAACAGGATATAAAGTTAAAGGTTACATAAAGGAAAATGGATAACAAAGAAAGCTGTGTTTCTCCAATGCAGTTAAAAATACCAAATCAAAATTGTTGCATAGAGATTCTGGCTTGTGAATGTACTGTAAACCCACCACTAATGATAAGTTCACCTCTAACGATAAGCATGAACTCATTATTCGGGGTGAGAGATATGTTAAAATATTTTCCATTCCCAAGAAACACTTGGAAAAATCAATTCTCTCTATTACCTATTTTAAAGACACTATAAGAAGATTATCACCGTCTGTAGCTGTGAATTTTTTTAAATTTTTGAACTTTGATAGTGGCGGTAAGTGTCAGGAGGCTGCCTGAGCACAGGCAGAGCGCGCACTGTATGGTCTTCGGTGCAGTATACCAGTGTGTATTCGTCTGCAGAGGTTCCGGTTCTCTGGTATACGAGAGAAATCTTTCTCTAATCGGAGAAATTAGTTTGTGCCGCCGGTGAGGGGAACGCATTCGGTTCTACCATGAACGCCGTCTGCGGGCGCGTGGGGATCTTAAATAGCAGCTCAGATTAGCGTCAGGTGTGGAAGCTGCACGTTCCCACGCGCCGTTGAGTGGGAAGTGTGTTCCACTGTCACAAAACCAATATTTGTAATTTTGCTGGTGATAAAAATTGGTAAACACTTTAAAAAAGTGCCATACATTATGCAATGATACATGCTACATGCTTAAAGGGCACTCTATACACTTTGCATGATGCACTTATTTTAGTGTGATTTATTAGAAGCACGAAAGCACTTCTTTTTAATAGTAAACATCTGCTTTCAAGTGAGAAATTGAAGAATACAGCAAGGACAGTTAAATCTCAATTCATGACTTGCTGTATTAGCAGATGGCTTAATGCCATTTTCATCATCCACTTCAACCTTTTTTACTTCAGGTTCAATGCATAATTTGAAAAAACTGGTTTAGAAAAGCTGTTGTAGGAGCATTTGTATGCAACTACTATACAGTACAGTACTGTATATCCTTCACTTCTGTTTCTGTTTCTTTTGCTTTCACAGCAGTTATACAGTAGCTGAGAGATGTCCATAAATATAAACATCTGATGTTTGAAGGTCCCAGATGAAACAAAGGGCAAATGTATGGACCTAGCCTCGAAGGCCTAGCATTAGAATTAGGACCTTTGTAAAAGGCTTATCACTTTTGTTTCATTTTTTACAGTAAATACTGCCAAACCCCATTCAAGATTCTCTCGAAGCATTTATCGAAAGTCACGCTGTACATCTCATGACTAACATGAGCTTTTACTAAAGACAAAGTTGAGAACTGAGCTCTGTTTGCACGTTTTTTTTTCGCATCTCTGATGAGTTATTTGTCAAACATTATGTTAAAAGCTGTACAGTACATCTACTTTACTGAAACTTAAGTGTGGGAAATTTCTATAGTTAAAATTCTGCATTCAATCATCATGTATAATTATTATTATCAGCAAAATGCGTATGGTACTTTATGAAGTTATACAATGAGTGTTAGTTATGCTTTTTAAATAGTGTCCTTTCACAAGCATTAAAGACCATTGAGATTGATAACAGAAACAAAAAAATTTGTTTCAGGAAAGGCATGAAAAAGCATTCAGGATTGGAGAAAAGCAGATTGTGACATCAGTTAGACTTGACAGCTTGACAAGTTGGATCATTTTCAGAGGTCAGTGCATAATTATTTTGACCAGGTAATTAATTACTCAAGATTTTGCTTGATATGAGCAATGTAGGACTAATGCCCTATTAAGCGGTGCAAGGCTGCTTGAGTAGGATGAAAATTATAGATTTTCAAGCCCAGGTAAATGATGCTTTGTGTATTTAAATCTCTGTTTTCATTCTGTATTCACAAGCAGACAGCTACAGTAGTAGGACCATTCTTTGTGCAGCACCTGAAAGCACAAATGAATTGCAAACCAGTCCAGTCCCAGGAGAAAACTTTAGACTATAACACATGGCCTGAGATGGTTAACTCAGTGCATGCAGAAAGCATTTTTTGTGCCGGCGTAACATGAGTTGTTGAAGAATGTCAATTCATATTTACCGTCACGAGTTTGAACAATCTTCAATTAAAAAACCTTGTGAGAATTTCAGAGTCAAAACTATTTTCAGAGTGCTCCTGTATATGGAGAAATCTCTGTCCAAAAAAGTAACACATGGGGCATCTTTAATGGTAAGAAAACACAAAATCCTAAATCTCACGTTCAGTAAAAACACTACAATTTGCTGATAAATCATGGTACATGAGCATTGTTGTTCTGTAGGTGATTGTTCAGAACAAGGTGTTTGTAATTGTTAATTATTCTACTGCATAGGGTTAACTAGCAAAATACTTAGCATTCAAAATGCAATCATAATACCACACACATCAGAAGTTGTACTTCAAAAATGACCCAGGCAAACTTAGCAGAAAGCAATTGTACAAGGTGCAGGCATATGATAACACCCTTTCCATTAGTGAAAAGCCTTTTCTATTTAAAACTGCTTAAGATCTTTGTGCAGAAGTAAATCATGTACCAAATCAGTGATTCTGATTAATGTGCATTCAAGATGGATGACATGAAACCATTCAATCACTGAAGAAAGAATCAAAATTACACAGGGGAAATGCTGAGGCAGTAACTCACAGCTTATTGCTAAGTATCTGAGAATCCCTCATCCAGGTAAAATTAAAGATTTAAATGGGTTTTCATGGAACACTTGCTTGTAGAATTAGATATGTATTTCACATTACCACTCACATTAGTACGTTTGGCGCACAACTGGAAAATATGCAAAAGGATACCCCATATTAATCACTTTCTTAAAATACAGTCACTTCTAATGGGAGTTGAACACAGACAGGTCTCCTTTTTATTTAATAATTGTCATTCAGTCTTCAACTTCTTTCCGATTAATCCTTCTTAATCCTAAATGTATTCCTGTTCTTTACCATCTACACACAGGACACTATTTCCCTTCAGTATATGCCTTTAATGTCCTCTAATTTGTTTAAATGTTTATCATAGTTTCTTCCTTTCATCATTTGTAAAATACCCATAATGCTGTTTTAAAGAAGCATTGTTTTCATTGAAAGCAAGCACTATGCTTTCTGTCCATTTTAGCAAAGTATCAGGTTTTTTGGAGCAGAAGACAAGTGAATAAATAAAAAGCATTCGTAGAGTTTTGTAGTTACTTGCTTTTTCTCCCATTTTGCATCAACTTAGTGTATATATAAATAATTGTAAATTTTTAGGTTTTATTGAAACGTGATATTTTTAATCATTGGTATAAGTGCATTCTTCAAGTTTAAGGGTTTCTTGTCAGACTCCAGTAGGAGCTGAAATCTTTGCTAATTCAATATCTTTATAATGCATGCTCTATTATATTAACTTTGCTCATTCACCCTCCATTTATAACAAGAAAATAATGAGAACTATTATGTTGCTTAGTGTAATATTGTCAAGATGTTTGTGAGCATGTTTAAAATGTACAATAAATAAATGTTACAGTATATCATTGGTAACCTAAAACCTTGTCTATTACAACTTTAAAACAGTATAGTGAATCCTTGCACATTTCCTTTAATTTGCAGTTCTTGAAAGTATTTAATAAAAATGAAACAGAAGTACCATTGTTTAGAGTATGTCGCATTTATTTTTCCAGATTATACAAAAACAATCAAAACATACACAATGTGGCAAGCAGCATATTAATTTAGTGCATTGATTTTAAAGTAGTTGCTACGTTTGATTATAATTTTAACATACCATCAGTGAAGCTCCATTTACACAATGTCCTTCACATTGGCACCACTTGTTTCTTAGCAAACTAAATAAATACATTAAAATAAATACTACATAAAACAAGAAATTTCCATTACAGTTTGAACATCATGCCATTGCATCTTTTTATTAAATGTACAGCCCATTGCTGGAAAATTCCCAATCTTATTTTTTTACCTGTGTGACAGGAGTTTTCCAGCTTCATGATGAGACCATAAAATGTCTTAAGCAATTCACTTTTAAAGCAATACAAATAAAGCGCGAATCGCTGCATTTTATTTATACAAATTTGTACGCTATAAAAATACTGTGTCGACAGGAATAACTCATATCTTTCTACTCATATGAAGACAATGTGGCTAAACACTAAAGCTCTGCAACACTCAGCATTCTGTATGTACAATAAACGGTAGATAAAATGTTACAATTCAACCATTTACATTTCTACAGAATTTTTACAAAAATAGTTTCATTCAGTGTGCAAGTGAAAATACGTTTTTAAAGCTACGTTCTTAGCCATTGACTTTGTACCGAAATGTTTATTTTGTTGTTCCCTTTACATTTTCACATTGGTTTTTCCAAGTGTTCATACCGCCACGAAGCGCAAGAGGGTAGCAAAATCCATAACTTGGAAACGCGGGTAAATAAAAGTTACAGATATGATTAGAGTTTCACTCCTCCTTACCAATAAATAAACGAATAAATAACGACAGCAATGACAAAACCCCTATTTAATATATCGTAGTGGAGGGTGAATATTCAAGTGCCCAAAACAAACAGGGTTTCTACAATACAGTAGACTGCAAACAATACAATTATTACATTCACGCAGGTCTACATTCCAGCATTTTCTTGAAAGCCTTTCTAAAACTGTCATCCAGAAACGCGTAGAGGAAAGGATTAAGACAAGAGTTAGCGTAACTCAGGCTGGTGATGAAATAGGAGATCCCGATCACAAGAGGAGTCGTCCTCAAATCGGTGGTTAGAGCAACTATGGTGCTGAGATGGAAAGGCGTCCAACAAAATAAACACACCGCTAACACGATGAAGACCATGACGGTCACCTTCTTCTTAGCTTTGTCTAGGGCTTTGGCGTTGGAATTCAAGCGCATGTTTCTCAGTTTGTAAAGCATCATCGTGTACAGGATACAGATTGTCGACACAGGGATAGCAAAGCCTAGAATGAGGGTATATATCCGGCTGGCTTTGAACCAAAAGCTCTCCGGACTGGGGAAGCTCAAGGCACAGCTTTTTCTCTCCATGTAATCCGGGACAGTATAAACCCCAGCAAAGACGGTGAAAGGCATGACTATCAGGATAACCAGCACCCAGACGCACAGGCTCACAATTTTGGCTGCCCGGTAAGTGCGGTGGGGCATTCTCTTGGACCTCACCGTTGAGAGCACTACCAGGTAACGATCGACGCTCATCACCGTAAGAAAGTAGATGCTGGAGAAGATGTTGTAGTGATCAATGGAAAGGATGAGTTTACACAGCACTTCCCCGAAGGGCCAGTAGTGCAGGAGGTGCTCGGCAATGTTTATAGGCAGGACGAGGGTGAACAGGTCGTCAGCTATGGCCAAGTTCAGAATGAACATGTTCGTGACCGTCTTCATTTTGGGGGCTTTCAAGATCACATAGATGACAGCGGTATTGCCAGTTAGTCCCACTGCACATATCACAGAGTAAATCACTGGCAGGACAACATAGAAATCTGGGTAGTAGAACTGTCCAGGTGCTGTGCAATTTGAATCGGTCCTGTTATAATAGTAGTAATCCATAGGATGGCTACATATACTGCTTGAGTTGCTCGTGTTGGATACATTTTCCATTTTTAATTTTATTTCTTTGCTTTATTGTTACAGTTGGGACACCACAGATTTGTCAAAAAGATAAAAAAGGCTAAAGTTAAATTTTTGGGTTTTTTTTTTCAGCGGGCTTTTAGTAGCGTCATCTTGTTTAATTCTCGTCAATAGTTATTTTATTTGTGGTTTAGACATCACGCTGCGTATCTGAAGGAAATGATAACAGACATTAAACAATAGGACAAGCAAGCGTGCCAGTGCTGACTTCTCACACGCCTGCAACTTTCAATCAGGAAAGAAACAAAATTTAAACAGGAGATAAGCATACCGCAGCTTGGCAGTACATTTTAAACTAACCAGGACATTAATTCTTATACCAGACATTTATCCAGTTTATATCAATAAATATTTTAAAGTTTCAGGAAGCTAAGCATAAACAAGAACTGCTTTGTTTTTGGTTAAAACAATATACGTTTGTTTGCCTGGACACGAGAAACAATACTGAATGCTGTGTCCAAAACAAAAAGCAGGAGTAACGCAAAGATAAAGATGTATTTCCTCACCGCCCTTACCTTGGTCGGCACTTCTCGCTGGTCCCTCTGTCTGGATCTTCAACACATCTCGCAGCCTGTTTTCCAAACAGTTAAAGGAGGGTGTGTGGATCGGTGACGTCACCTGCTCTGGGAGGTTTTTTCCAGATTCAGTGCGTGCCTCATAGTTGATCGGCCTTTATGGCCAAGCCTAGTGTTATAGGTCTGCTGCAAATTATAAAATAAATATTTGTTGTATAATAGAAGTTGCAAAATAAACTTTTTTATTTTTTAAAAGGTTTGCATTGTTTTTTCTTAATAGGGTTTAATTTAAAACTGTTTTGTTTTTATACTACCTTTCCCTGTTTAGCGTGATGGGTGTTTAATAACTTTCTACTTGCTTTTCTAAAGAGAAATGAAAGTTATGGAATGCATAACAAAATGGCAACACAAACAGCCACAATAATAAAGAAATGTGGCTATTTAAAAGGTATTTAAAAATACCTTTTAAAAGGTATTTAAAACCCTTCCAGAACAAAATGGTCTTGAGAGTTGCCTAAGATAAAACGTTATGTTTCAGCTAACTGTAGTCTTGTAATAGGGGCAAGACTGGGAAATCCTGGTTCTGATGGTCTTGTGTGTCTACAGGTTTTCTAGCCCTGTTCTAAGCTGCAGCATTTGAAGAACTGGAAGTTGTTAAACTGGTATCATTCTACCAAAAATGAGTTGATTCAGGCTGATAAAAGCTGACTTGAAATGCAACCTCACCAGCCTTCCAGGAGCTGGGTTGTCCATCACTGCTTCAGAGATACGCGATTGATTAATGATTGAGGCTTTGAAAATCTTAGGATTGGCTTGATACACAGTGAGTATGAGTCATCAGAGACAGAGACCCACACTGGGGCTGTGCATTTGATAAATGTGAGGCAGGTTTAGAAGACAGGAATCAGTTCTGAGTGTAGAAAGATGTGGGTGTTACAGTAGAAGAGGCTATAGCTGCAGATTTATTAAGGTTACAAAAAGATCATTTAAAATTCAAAAAACTGTTCTGAGCAATATTACAGTAAATGGGAAACTGGAAACAAAATCTTCAGCTTTGCAAAAACCTTGAAAAAAGCTCCAAGTAGTGTATTTTGTATCTATACCAAGGTAATCAAAGGTAATCTATGAGGGTAAGTCATTAAAGTTAATTATCCCATAATACACTTCCTAGGCGAGCTCTGTTTTTCAGTAGTATGTCATTGCCCAGTCAAATGCTCTTGTAATAAAAAAAGGCGTTTATTCCCTGAGCCGTTCCTGCTCCAGCCCTTGGACCTCAGAGAACTTCATTCGCTGGGCCATACAATGTGACAATCAAAATCTGACATTTCACGATCTGGACGGTAAGGTGGTTGGGGTGATAATTCAACATGATCTTCAGGGCATTGCACTTCTGTCACAGCTGTGTGGGTGTTGTGATCCTGAAAATGTACTTGTCTGCAGGTGGCGCTGTTTGCAGTAAAAAAATCTTAACGGGCCGGAGGGGCCGAGCGGCCCTCTCTCCTTTCTGAGGTTCTTATGTAACAGCTGTCCCCACCCATGGAAGAGGAGATGGTGGATAATTCAGAATTTCCTGTCACTTATTGAAATTTACTAGTAATTTACTCACACTGCTAGTGGAACACAGGGATACAAAATGGAGAGGCTTTTACTTTGAGTTTCTAGGCTTAATGGAGGCAGAGAGAAGTGAAATCTCTTTCTGTAGGCTAATGCTGGAATTGGAGGGAGCAAACAGCAGTTTTAGAAAGCAAAAAGATTGATGGGATGAATCAGATTGCAAGGTAAAATCACACAGAGAGAGAGCTTTAAATAGGCACTATTTAGAAGAGCACATTACCTACTGAGATTCATCATTAGGGAGTTAGTTTTGTGTTGTGTCTCCAGTGCAAGATGTGATCACACATAATAATGACTGGGGTGCAGCTGCACCCTAGAATATATTGTGTTGGTGAAATTGTTTTTAAAAGATCTTTAATGCTGCACCCATGTAAAAATATTGTTTGTGCATATCCCAAGCATTTAAAAGTGCTTACATTTAAAACAAGTACTTCAGGACTTTTAAAATACTGTGTTAACTATTTAAAGGTTTTTCTTCAGGTCCTTTTTGTGTCTAGTTTAAGGTACAACAATTAACTATTTAACTATTCTGCCTTAATTTTAATGATGAAAAAAATGTCTAAAATTATACTAATCATTTTCCTTTAGTAGAAATCTTTGTGACAACTTGAAATCCTAAAGTGCTTCAGTGTATAACACTCACATGATCTAAATAATTCACTCTATTGCAGCTCTGCGGTTGAAGGCGACAACAGTTTCACACCCTAACATGAAGAAATGGGAAACTGCATCCATATTTTCAATTCAAGTGGTAGGATTTAAAGTAATACAACAAATATTAATACAAAAGAGATGGGACAACTTAGAGATAACTCCCATGCACTCTTTCAAAAACACTCTATAGGATCATAGCACAAACAAGACAGAGGTTCAACACAGCATAATACTGCTGGTGAGCTTCATGAGTTACAATTGATGCAGACTTTTCCACAATATGAATTGGATCACTTTTCAGTTATGACAAGGTAGTTTCCCATATCATATGGTGTTAATATCGGTACACCTAAGTTTTAAAAAGCTATAGCTACAGTAAAATAGAACCCTCTACATTAGAATAGTTTTGCTGTCATCACAATCGGCCCCAGTTTCACCAGGTTAATCAGAAGAGGCTTAAACACATGCTTTATTAAAATGTGAAAACACAGAGCCATTATTAAGGTTTCATTAGTCTTGGTCTAAGGTCACAGGTCCACTCTAGCTTAATTAAAGACAGAAGCACAGGTTAGGGAAGCATTGAGTCATTAGTGTCGAAGGTCACTGTGTGGCTGACCTATATTATATAGCTCCCATATACATTTTCTTATCAATTGTCTTGTAGTTATGGTAGAATACATATGATTTCCTAATTAACCTTCAACCAATATGATGTGGCAACTGTTGTGTTATAAAAGGAAATTTTACAGCTAGTTTTATTTTTATTTTTAGAAAGGTAAGACCAATTAACCATAACAAGTGTAATAATTTAAACATGATCTGTCTGTGGATGTTGAATAAAGTGATGTTAACCATGTTAATCTTGTCACCAAATGAGAAATTAATGTTTTATAGAGCTAAAATTTACCAGTTTGTGCAGTTCTGATCTATTATATCAGGATGTCACAGTACGATGCAAAATTAATCTATGATACTTTAATTCTGGCAGTGAAGAAACAAAAAAATGGTCTTAATTTTATGCCAGTTCATTTCCGAATTGAGGACACTATTCAAGATCAATAATGATAAATTATCATTATTGAGCTCATTAATAAACATTGATTTTATTTAATGATGTTCCATCACATTTTTCCTGACATAAAGAAACAGGTTAGTTTTTTTTTTCTATGGGTAAGTATTCTAGAATGTTTTATACTGGAGAGCCTATCAAAATGTTCTTTTGTTCAAAAAGTTATGTACAATATTAATCATGAAGAGAAATGTTATTATTTTCTTCAATTAGACAAATATCACAACTTCAGAGATCTATGAAATTCTCAGCTGGAACATTGAGGTAGACCAGATAAATTGTCTGGCATTTGATATTGCTTTTGTCAGTTGTGTGGCTAAGTGTTTCATGTTATGGGTAAAACAAAGTAAGGTATATCCAATGGCTTTGTATGTGGATGAACAAATGTTTCTAGAATCTGTTCTATTGTACCTCATGATCAGAGATACACCACTAAATATTCTTCAACCAATATCTGTATATCAGATAATGAAGAAGTAAAATTAGTATTTTAATAAATATTTTATTTTAATACTGTGCACTGATTTTTGTTGAGTTTGCAGCAAAGTGTCTTGTGCTTTTCCCTTGTAGGATCAATAACTAACAAAGCAAAGCACCTGTTTAAGACAGTCAATATACTGTATACTGTAATTGGCTAAGTGTAGACAAGTATCCTCTACCAGTGAAGGAGGAGAGAGGGATTGAGAATGAATATTCAAGTAATGAGTACTCATAACTGTCTTTCTGAGAACTCGTCACAGTTAATAGAGAAGGCTCAAATGAGATTAGTTAACACATCTGTAGTGATGGTAAGCTTCATTAGTCAGGAGGGTGATTTCAGGTCTTAGAGAGAAAAGAAATGTGTCCTATAGGTTCCTTATTTGCAATTGCTATTCCCCACCAGGTGTCAGTACTCAAAGAATGATCTGAAACTACATGTATATTTGGTTTTGAAAGCTTGCCATGCCCACTAATTGCCTTCATCCTATATGCTTTCCTTTTAAACCACACAGGACTAATTTGAAAGCACATCCTACAATGTGCAAGCCAGCAGGTTAAATATTTAGTCACAGTATTTAAATCAGCGTTATGTGAATGTGTAATTTAGATCACTGTGAGTTTGTCTCCTAACTGCTTTCCTTTTAAATCATGTACCATTGTATCCCTGTGTGCTAATCTGGAACTGTGCAATGTAGAGAATTCTTAATATTGATTTATTTAGCTGGTGGCTAAATTCAAAGTGTCATTTTCAAAACAATCTCCCAGCTGTAAAAAATATCTGTCACTAAATATATTATGTAGACTAACATGAATACAAAAATATATTTTTTTAAAAAATGCATAATCTAACAAAACAGAACAAGAAATTATTTAATTGCGGAATAAAAATATATATCATGGTAAGGCTAATTTAAACATTTAGAATATTTTTGTATTTTGATGTGCTGTTCAATCCTTCCTGTGAGATACAAAACTGAGATTCTAATGATGTAGTCATTAATGATGGATAGCACTGTACAGTATGTAAGAGTATGTATGTGGGGTGTTAACTGGGAGTTAACTCAGTGCTGCTGAATCTCACTCTGAACTTGCATAATCTAGGTTCCTTCTTAAATTAACTGGTGAAGTAATTTCTCTATTATCCTTCTAATCCTCTTGTTGTAGGGCTGTGGGAACATCATATCCTTCCATATGAACAGCACTTTGCAATCCTTTGGGATAAAAAGCACTACATAAATGTTAAAAAATAATGATTAGTTCAGAAGGCACTCCATTAATTTGCATTGTGTGGCTGGGATCAAA